AGGAAGTGAGGTAGCTGGGTGGAAACAGGAGAAACAGGAACTCACTCTCTGTACGGACCTCCAGACCTCTATGATTAGCTAGTGGCAAGCTCCATTCTCTGTCCCCTCCCCCCAGACAGGATTTATTTGCACAAGAGATCACCACAGTGGGACACAGCAGAAGCAATGTGTGCAACATCCAGAAACCGTTTTTAAGTAAGAGTTAATTTTCTCTTGCAGGCCAATCAAATCCTTTCTAATGTTGTAGTCTAGAATATTGAGGTTCTTCTATTTTATCCAGCAAACCCTATAATTCAGTGGCTATCATTTACTACATTTCACTCCCTGGTTATTATTCTGACAGAGTTGTAGGCAAAAACAAGCAAGCGCAAAAAAAAAAAAAAAAAACTAGTATTTTGGCTAATGTTACTGAACATTTCACAGGGATGGATGGCATGACTTAACACCGATCCAATTGGCTTCTTCCCAGATACCAGCAAAACTAGCTCTTCTCAACAATGAACTAGGTTCATCTATCTTTAGCCTGGCAGAGTCTGCGCCTGGCCATGCTCACCACCTTTCTGCAGTTTGCGTAGGTCACCCATGCTCAGGTCATTTGCATAGTGATGAACTAAACAGAAGAGTTGGGGACTGAGCAGTTTAGATCAAGGAGTCCCATCAGAAACTTGGAAGTTATGAGCAGAGAGGCCAGTCATTCCCAAAGAGTTGTTACCAGGAGCGGGGAGTGTGCTGAGTGGCAAACAGCAGACTTTACTATAATTTAGAAATCCAAGAGTCACAGACTCACTATTCTTCATTGGAGCTAAAAGGCAATGTAGGAGATTATGGAATAGTATAAAGTATTTTTGGTCTAGTTACTGAACTTCAAATACAGCACGTTTTGATGCTGTATTTGGTAATTAATTTGCTCCCCCCTCACTGCTGAGGACACAAGCCAGTCGGTAGAAAGAACTGCCTTTGGAAGAACGAACTCAAACCCCACAACGGTCCTTCTTGTCACCTAGGAACGTAGGAAAACACCTGGATTTGTTTCTCCTTCGTGTGGCTGCCCCACATGCCAGCCACACAGTAGCTCCCTTTTAGAGTCCATCACCTGCGAGACTGGACACCCACTCTCTTGGCTTTCTCCACCTCGAGTCTTTCCATTCCCAGTGCTTACAAGTTTTGTTTGTGAGGGTTCAAATGTGGCAAAAACGATTAGAGGCTTCTAAGCGGCAACAGCTGCAGAGGCCAAGGATGTTGGCTAACAACTGACCAACCCTTCCAGGGAGAGCTCTGAGGCCCAGGACTTAAAAAACACCTTCCAATCTGTCAGGAGCATAGAAAGGGCTGCTGTCTCACACTGAAGGCGGCTTTAGAAGCCCAGCATCTGGTTAGCCAGGCCCCATACTTGAAAACAGAGCGGATCCTCCTGTTCTTTAGGAACACAGAGCACCAGTCAACAGGGAGACCACAGGGCTCAAGGAAAACAAGAAGTTACTGGGCTTCAGGGACGGTCTTTGCACCGCAGATTTACACCATATGGACTTAAACCAGAACCAGTGCTCGAGGAGCCAAAATAAATCAAGATACCAAGAGGTGGGCCCTGACAGATTCTTCTAACAGAAAAAGAATAACTAAAATGCTAAACAGAAACCAAGAGAAACTTGAGTTTTCCGAAATAAAACTGTGAAACCACCATGCTATAGCCTCTGCATCTCCTGAGGGAGATAGGAAGCTTGCTTTGAAAAATAAAAGGCATTTTGGTTGGCTTTCTTCTTGGGTGTGTGTGTCAGAGCATGAACATTTGTCTCCAGTCTATGTAATGAACACTCATACATTTTGCAGGATAGGCTTTTGTCTGCCCCGGTGTCTTCATGGATTTTCTTCAACCACTCAATTTCTACTTCTGAACCTTTCCCGAGAATTCCGAAAGGCCATGAAATCACAGTCTCCCATGTAGCTGCAATAGTTGCCACCAAACTCTGCCCCTCATGCCTGGCCTGTCTAAAAGGCCAGCAGTTATAGATGGATTCACCAGCGGGCTGAACACAGGGTTCTTCTGATGTTCAATACGGCAACACAAGCGCCAGCAGCAGTTACTTCTGCATGCCTGCGTCCTTTCCAGGTGGCCACTGACCAGGCAGGTTTGGATAGCCATGTCACCTCAGCTCTGCAACAGAGCTGAGCCCTTTTTAGTTCAGCTGTGGGCAATTCACAGGAGACCGAAAAAGGCCAGATGGCAACGTTTTAGATCCCATCAAAGAAACTGGCATTAGCATAAGCAGCTACCAGAGATCACTAAATTTTTTATATCCAAACCAGCAAAGATTTGGAGTAGCATGAAAAAAAAAAAAAAGAAAAAGAAAAAAAGACATAAGATCTACTAAGCTTGCTGGGAGAAAAAGACAAAGGAGGCCTAACAAATTATGAACAATCCTCTTAAAAAAAATAATGTGATTAAGTTGGGTGTGGCATCTAAGCACTGGGGTAGAGGCTGAGGATCAGGTAGGCGCTCAAGGTCATCCTTGACTACACGGTGGATTTGAGGCTAGCCTAGAATAGAGAAGATCCTACCTTAAAAACAACTTTATGCATTAGAGCAGCTCTCAGACATCATCAGAAGTTTCTTTGTGCAGTGGAAAGTGGTGAACCCAGAAAATCATAACTGGCCAAAGTGTAGGGAATAAATGTCTATGGAACTAACTGTTCAGCCACAGAGCAACAGTAACTTGGAACAGTAGGAATTCTGGATAGCCTCTGGCTAAGATAGAGCCTACCTGAGGTGTAGCCTAACAGTTAAGGATGTAACCTAAGAGGCCCAGCTTGTCTTGTCTTGAATGCTGGCTCGTTTATTCTTGGTGGTTTGAGCATAATCCTCATCTGGCTGGGCCTCAGTTTCCTCCTCCATCTGATGATGGTGTTATATTTAAGTGGCTCTAGAGCTCATAAGACATCACGGCAAAGACCGAAAGGAGAAAAGGGGCTCTGGAGCCTTGACTTTATTCACCAAGGATATGAAAGGACGAGTAGGCTCATAGGATGTGTGTGACCACGCAAGCCAGAGGATGACACTGGGTGTTGGTCCTTAGATGCTGTCTACCTCGATTTTGAGATGGCATTTCTCACTGACTTTGAACTCGAGTGAGCCAGGCCATGTTTGCTGGCTAGGAAGCCCCAGTGGTCCGACTGTCTGTACAGCTGTTGCTGTCTCTCTCTCTTTTTTTGTAAATGTGGGTTCTGGGGTTAAAATTTAGGTCCTTGCACTTGCAAATTTCATATGTTGTAATGTATGCTATTAATCCTACATGTCATAATTAGTAATTATGCAAAGTTGTATTTTGTCTTTGAAACCACTGTTGTAAAAATAAAAGGCCAGGTGGAGTTTCTCCCCTCTTGAGAAGTAATCCATGATTACTGTAGAATGACGTCGTCACTGGTCTCTCAGTCTGTTTACTGTGGCTTTGCCGAGCATCTGAGAGAACGTGCCAGTGAGAGTGGGCTGTGGTACTCCTGGTGTCCAAGGCTTTCATCCAGCCACTCCAACTTTACCCTTATTCACTACGACACATGTTTATTATAAATTGCTTGGGAATAAATATGCATATTAATCAATCGAGCTGACAGTTATATTTAGGTGAACTCTGCTCCCCTTTCCTCGTGGGAGGCAGAGGAAAGCAGGGAATAAATTCTTTCTTTGTTGTTCAGTTTTACACGGGGCTTCCCACTTCTCTTCACTGTTAGGGTTCCTCCCCACCCCACCCCACCCCACCCCACATGCCCTCCCAATGTACTCTCCCCCACTTCCCCAGCGCCGCCAGAACGTCTCCAGCCTGCTTCAGTGACACGGATTTCACTTTGGGTCAAATCTGAATCCCGTGAAATCGAGCCCAGCTGTCTTTCCAGTGGTACTGGGAAGTGGGCCGTGACATAACTCCCCATGAATCCCTTGCCATGTCAGACCGCAAGGGCCCCCTCGGGTGTGAGCACATTTCCCAGTGGCTTCATCAGCTACGAGCACTTCTAGCAGCACTGAGACCAGAGGTCGTTGAGCATGACTACCTCTTGGTTTTCTACTGAGATTTCTACCCCAGTTACAGATACTTGTATTCTCCAAGTCTACCTCAGTCTTACTCAACCTATAAACTGAATGGTCTTCATTAGTGATCAATTTCATCACTTTTGTAAGTGTTATTTTTGAGATTTAGACCATAATTACATCATTTCTCTTTTCTCCGTATAAGCTCTCCCATGTACTCTTTCTTGCTCATTTTCAAATTCATGGCCCCCTGTTCATTAATTTTTAAAAACCATTCAGTACACAGATGCAGTACAGATGTGATTCTTTACTCTTCTATAGTCAAACTAAAGTTTCAGGGCGGCATAAATGCACATGAAATTATCAGTTTAATTTTAGTATGTGGACCGCTCAAGTCAAGCCACGTATACACAAAATTACGCCTCGAACACTTCATCGACACACTCAAGAGAGTGTTTTCTTTAGATGTAGCACAATACAGCAGCAAGCTGGTCATCACCGTGTCCCTGTACAGCAACCAGAGCCAGCTGGGAATGGACGGGACGCAGAACTGGTGAGAAGTCATCAATGATAACTCAGTGTGGAGCTGCAGCTCTCTAACTGAATGTACAGTGATTCGTGTTTATATCACCTTCTCTTTAGCCTGGGAGCGTCTCAAATGTGAGGTGTCTTAAGAGGGTTACATATAAACCAAACACGAGGATGGTCAACCCTTGGCCGAGTTCTTCTCCTTGGCTAGACCTTTGCCGAGTGGCATTCTCTTCACTGAGGCACAACCACGCAGGAGGCCATCTTTGTGGCTGACACAGGTGACCCTTGGGTTTGGTCTCGTCGCCCTAACAATAGAAATGTTTCAGCGTACAGGGTAAGCATCCTGAAGCCTAGTGAGGACTCCACTAATCAGGTACGTGAGGGCCTCATCCGTGAGGGAGCCTTTGTAGTTCGTTCATTCAAAAGGTGACAAAATGCACTTTTTTCAAAAGACAGTTATATTGTTTAATTTCCTTTTAGACAAACAACACATTCCAACCATCCTCTGAGAGTACCCAGTCACCCAACTGTCCATCCACACACCACCTTCTCAACCATCTGGGAACTTCTTCCACAGGTGCTCAATTTCCATCGCCAAGCTTCTGGGTAGATTCGCTTTTCACTGGAAAAAACCATGTAAACATACGGTCAAATGTTTATACTGCTGAGTCTGTTTTGTTTTCTCTTCATCTCTCCTCCCTTCTGATGCATAGCAACAGCACTCCTCACAGGGACAGACAAACCATGTCATGTCCCTGGCAGCCAGGAAACACAATTCTGGACGCAGTAAATAGAGAAACGATACTTATACTTAGACAGTGACAGTTCTATTTTGTGACTTTGGAAGACTTGAGAACAGACCTCGGGGCTCAGTTATGACCCCACATTCACGACAGCATTACCGCACAGCCTACCCACACAGCTGGAAAATATTTTTACATATGTGTAATTTTTTTTTTTAAAGTTAAGAGTGAGTCTGTGAATGCATGTGGGCTGACAGCAGACTGGCCACAATGGACGCCTCTGAGGCTCCTGTCATGCTGAGGTCAGCCTCCATGACCAAGACGCAAACAACCTCTGTCCCATCCTCCCCCCCCCCCCCCCCGGTTTGTCCCATAGTGCGTAGTGCACTGAGCCCTGTACTGCACATTACCCTGATCTTATATATGATGAAACCAACAGGAAGTAGCACACTGAAACTCTTTAACAGCTCTTACGGTTAAAATATGACTTGGGACTGCAGAGATGCTCCTCCGGGTTAAGGATACTCACTCTCTGCTCCCTCAGAGAACTAAGCTTGGTTGCCAACACCCACCTGTGCAGGAGACGCTTACAACTGCCGTAATTTCAGCCCTAGGGGACCTGCCATACTCTTTTGGCCTTTGAGAACACTGTATGTAAGTATGCACAGGCACACATGTACACACTGAAATAAAACTACATTTTTAAAACACAATAAAACAGATTATTTTTCTTAAAGGTTATACTGCTTGTTTCCATGAGGTAGAGAAGGAAAAGAAAGCTCAGGGAGGATGCACACGGGTTGGAAATGTAAGCGTGGACCTCTGTCTCATATTCCAACTGTCTGTCGAGTTCCCCGGGTTCATTTAGATCTATGGTTGTATTGCAACCAAAACAGCATTCGGTTAAGTCCTTCTTATGTGGCAGAATGTTGCCACTTCAGGCAGCCTCCGTCTTGGGAGTTTTTACAAACCCAGGAGAACCTGTCAAGTTGCTCTGAGATCCTACTTCACCCTCCGGCTTCCTCTACAGGGGTCTGTCATGGCACACTGCACACACAGCTTAGCTGTGCTTGTAAGTGTCTGAGCCTCGTCCTCACCTACACGATAAAAGGGAAGACGAGAAGAAGGTTGAGGAAGAATGGGGGAGGGAACTCAATGAAAGGACTGACACATGAAAGGTGCCCTGAGGAAATGGCACCGCGTAATGAGGGCTCCATAGCCATGAAGCACTCACCCTCTCCTTCGCCCACTCAAGCTGACTTCACAGGGCTTCGTCCTCACAAGACAGCGCAGCCTGCTTCCTAAGTCTGTTCCTGCAGCCGGCTCAGTAGCGCACGCGCACACTGATCTCAGTATTCTCCACAGCCCCATGGGATTCAAAGTGTGTGTGTGTGTGTGTGTGTGTGGTGGTAACTAACCAGCACTTTCCTCTCCTGCCTAGCACAGTTAACCCTTTTCATTCCTTAAAAAGAGAAGGAAGGACAAATAAACAAGCAAACACCCCATTGCCTATTAATGTAGACGGACTTAATTATGGCGACTACAAACAAACATTGTAACAACCATCAATTGGAGACATTTTTACAACCCCCCCCATCAAAACTCTATTCTCAGAATAAAAATGCAACCTTTTTTTTTTTTTTGAAAACACCTTTGGAGAGATCAAAAATTTCAAGGCTTTCCAAAGAAAATGCTGTTTTTATAGGACTCCCTCCCCCAAGTCATGGGGCTACCTTGCAGAATATCAATGCTACAGGACTATACAAAGAGACAAGCACCTTGATGTGCTCAGAAGAATAAATGCATGCCCACAGACCCGCCCTTCCTGTTAAGGGGCATGCACTGAGTATGTGACAGCTCTGGTAGCCCAGGATTGTTGAATTCTGTCAGACTTTCTTTACAGCAGTCCTAGACAACCATTTACATAAGAGTCAACTATGTGTGTGCCTGTAAATGAGCCCAGAGGAAAGCAACAGACTCCTTGAGGTTATAGGCTGAATTAGCCTTTCTCACAGCTTCATCCCAGGAAGCCTTACTTGAACACGTTATTCCTAAACAAGGTGAAAGAGGATCTGTGTGCTGTTTGTTTACACAGCCCATGTTTGCCCTGGCTACTAACTCACCCAACAGCTTTCCCCGAAACCAACATCCACAAGTCTTAACACTATGCTAATCGTGTTGAAGAAAAAGTACGTTTTACAAAGTTTAAAAAAGGAAAAGTGGTTACTTAAAACTGAAACTCCTAATTTGAGAAAATCGGCTATCCTCAAATTGTGAAAAACAAAGATAAGAATAAATGTAAGGCTTAGAGACTCATAATTTGTTATTAAAAAACTCTACATTTGCTAATTAGAACTTCGTTTCATGATGTGGCACTGGAAATAGCTTGGAAAAGCTTACTAGTTTTACCAAGGAAGAAAGAAATGAAACATATACACATGGAGAAAACACCTCACAAACAGGCCACAAACTATCCAAACATATAGATTCACGTGAAAGCCTTTGGTGTCTGCTGCAATGCAGCTTGGCCTGTACACACTGTTTCTCAGCTAACTGTTATCTAGGAGTGATTACTGACCAGCTTTGACCGAGCCCCACACTCCCGTGATATACAACACAATCAGGTCACCCTGATCAACGGCTGGGCAGTAGGGAAGCGACTTTCAGTCACCGAACAGCCACAGCACCACTTCCAACACCACCACGTTCTAGTACCTTCTCACACGGCCAAGAGGCAGAAGAAGCAGGAGATAAACCGGCGAGCCACGGCACAAGCTCAGTGCGCAGCCCGGACTTTAAACACAGTCCCTCAGCTGCAGCCCTTGCTAGAAGGGAGGATAAAAAAACCCAGCGATTTCTCATTTCTGTTGTGTAATAACCCCGTTTTTCACCGTGAAAACATTATTACTTTCATTGGTTAGTAAAGAGCTGACAGGCTGCTGGCTAGGCAGGATCTTTGGGGCAGAGAGAACGCTGGGAAAAAGGAGGAGTCTCAGAAGTCTCTAGAAAATGTGGAAAGCAACAAGATGAACTTGCCCTGTTGAAAAAAGGTATTGCCATGTAGCAGAGCACAGATAAGAAAGATGGGTTAATTTAAGTTGTAATAGCTTGTTACTAACTAGCTATTGTCTAACCATTTGTAATTAGTATTATAATTAATAAAATAACAATATAATTATAATAGTATATAAATGAATGTATAATCAATATTATTAAGTCCCCGTGTGGTTATTTGGGAGTCAGTTGACGGGACAGAGCTGACTGGTGGTCCCAACAAAAAACCCCACCTACAGTTTTCAGGAGATAGTAAATTATATGTGCACAGTGCTAATAAAGTCAAATACCCTTTTGAGCAGGACACGTTGACCCAGCCCACCACTCAGTGTCATGAGTGTGGTGCTGTCCAGTGGTTGGGAAGGGCACTACCCACTTGATACTTTATAGTATCAGCTGCTGTGCACTGAAAATTCTCTTACATCTATAACACGCAGACAACACATAAAAGCAGCCATTTAACTGCTGGTCTCTCTAGGAAGGGAAGGACAAACGCGCTTACCTTGGTGAAGAAGTTGCATGTCATTACTAGATCCTTTCAATACCACGTGCAAAGTTGGATATTCAATGATCACTTTGTTCCTCAAATTGTCTAAAAGACTTTTGTTAGGATCCAGTTCATAATACCTTAAAGGATAAAAAAAAACCTTAAAATTTAAGTTAACCTTTTTTCCTGTTCCTCTCCCCACTTCACACGGGTCTCTCTGTGTACCCCTGGCTGTCCTGGAAGTCACTCTGTAGACCAGGCTGGCCCTGAACTCACAGAGATCCACCTGCCTCTGATTCTCAAGTGCTGGAAGTAAAGGCGTGCGCCACCACTGCCTGGCTAAATTATTCTTAAAGAAATATACCAAAGACTCTCATAAAGGTTTTAAAGGCTGTAAACATTAACTCAGGAGTAATTCCTTAGTACAAGTTGTAAGGAACCAGGCAAAAGGGTTACTACTATAGAGGTCTTGAAAAGAAACCGCAAGTGCCTATAACTCAACGCTCGAGGAGCTGAGGCCAGAGGCCAGTGACTCTGAGGCTACACATGTCCCTCTGGGTTACACCTTGAGACCCTGTGTCAAGAGGTCAACATAACAACAAATAACCAAAATGTGGACCAAGCAGGGTGTGTTGGTACATACATCAACACCACCTTCTTGGGAGGCTGAAGCAGGAGGATCCTAAGTTTGAGCCTAGACTAGGCAATGGCTGCAAACTGCCACATTTAGAAAAAAGATATTGGCCATTTGAAAAAACATAGTCCAAGTCCCTAGTTTTCATATAGACTAAGAAATGAACAGTTTTATATAAAAAAAATCAACATTCAATGCATCATGAACTTTTCTTTGACAGATAAAATCCAAATTCCTCAAATCTATTTACTGAACTTGAAAAGAATAACTGGCTATGAAATACTCTTGTAAAGTCAACTCTACTTATAACCGGTTCCCAGGAGTTTACATTGCCAGGCAACTAAATTTGATTTGTCTTCATTGTGATACTTCAACAGTTTTGGTTTCTGATCTCGATAAAAGTGAGAGATATATGAATTTAAGAATTAGCTATTCCATGGTAAAATGACATAGCTAACAATATACAACAGTTAATTAGCAACACACACTAAGGAGTAAAATTCTCAAGTTCTGTAAGATGAAGTGGACCGGAGGTGTGCCATCCTGAAGTCTGGCTTGCTTCTTTCTGACCGTGTGTCAACTAATGTACTCATGGTGTGTGTGCTGGCATGTGAGCGTCATTTTAGGTCAAGAAGAGGTTCACCGGTGCCATCCTTTTTACCAATGGCATACAGCACTCATAGGCGAAAGCCACATCCATGTGAAGAGTCTACTAACTGTAATCCCACTGTTCTCCACTCAAAAAAGCACAGTAGGGCCAGGAGGAATGGCTCGGCACTTAAAAAGTACTTGATGTCCTTGTGGAGGACTTGGGTTTGGTTCCCATCTGCTACACGGGGTGGCTCCTAACTACCGGTAACTCTAGCTCCTCTGACTTCCACAGGCACCTGCACGCACACACCCAAACAAATGCACATACTTAAAATAATAAAAACAAATCTTAAAAAGAAAGCATCCTGGAGTATGAAGGCTCGAGCAAAGATGTCACTTGGATGCAGCATAACCTGCTATAATCTAGAGTAAACCACTGGCAAGCTTTGGCATTTCTCTATTGTCCTATGCAGCACGGGAAACGGTGCTTTTGAAAAAGGCAAAGCTAAGCCGACTATGTTAGCATGTCTTCCTCAGAGGATGACTGTGAGGGAGCAAGTGGAAAAGGAAACCTGTGTGAGCTTCTCTATCGGCTCTTCTCTGAAATCCAAGGATTCATTTTAGAATCACAGAATGTTAAAAGAAGCATGGGATGCAAACTAACTACATTTCTGCACCAGCATCTGTGTTCACAGACCATAGAAGGCACACACCATTCCCTCCCGGGGAACAGAAGACAGATGTACAGAAAATATTTTACAAAAAGGCTTTACAACTTTCAAACATTATTTCCCTTAAAATTAAGCAACAAACATGGGGCTGGAGAGATGGCTCAGAATTGTACTCACTGCTCTTAGAGAGGACCTGGGTTCTATTCCCAGAACCCACAGAGCAGCTCTCAACTGTAACTGCTCTTCCAGGAGATCTGATGCCCTCTTCTGACCTCTACCAGAATTGCATACACGTGGAACAGTATATGCATGCAGGCAAAACACTCATTTATATACATAAAATTAAAAAGCAACAATTAAAAATAAACCCCGAAGGGCCTGATGGCACATGCCTTTAACCCAGCACTTGGGACGCAGAGGCAGGCAGCTCTCTGTGAGTTCAAGGCCAGCCTGGTTTACAGAGTGAGTTCCAGGACAGCCAGGACTGTTACAGAGAAACCCTGTCTCAAAAAACCAAAATCCAAACAAACAAACAAACTCCCACGCCAAACAAACAAAAACCCCTAGTCTCCAAAAGTATTTGATAAATTAATGCATAGTACAGAGCAGTACAAACTGAACTTTACACACAGTTGAAACAGCTCATCTCCTATGTTTAATCCTAACCACAAGGCTTCCGCTGAGGAATTTCACAAATGAAGGGATGTTTCTACCATTTCAGTTTTTCTGACAGATAATTTTCCATGTATAGCCAATAGTTTCAGTATTTCAACTCACTTTATAGCACTCAATCTGCACTTGGTTGCTTTAGATTGCCAAAGCCACATGGGACTCAATCCCCAATATTATTGCTGATACAGTATATATAAAACATGCTCCCATAAAAGGAATGTTTTTTCATGGTCTTTGATTGCTTTTAACTATCTTCTTACTATTGATAACTTATAAACTATCTTTTATTTTAATCTTTCTATCAATAAGTTGGGAAAGAGTGCCATTAATAACACATTGTTTAAGAACAATTCTGAATTAGAACTTAGACTTACATAATTCAGAATTAAAAAGTAAGGTCTAAGTTGCTGGCTTCTAAAGGCATTTCAACCGATAGGTCAACTATAAAGACATGCTAAACACTCTATTTGATATTATATACACACCCAGAAGTGCCTTTCAGTGGTAAAAGGCAGTGTCCTGTGGAATAGCATCCTGTCTTCAAACGACCCCCATCCCACTCCCAGGGAGAAAGGCTATCAAATACATGTGGAGTCAGCATTTTGTGGAGTGGGAATTTAAATGAAGTAGTAAGTGTACAGCCCTCGCTCTACCAGCTGAGCTGAGCTATGAAGGGGAGCACAGAACTAAGTCTAAAAGGGATCAAGTCCTGCTCTGCCACTCACTGCAATACGATTTTGGATAAATCACTTCAGTTTTTAATTGTTTACTTGGCGTGTGCACATGATATGGTTGCTGTACATGTATGTGTGTACAGTCGTCACCTTCCAACTTGTTTGAGACAGGGTCTCTCTGTTGTCTGTTGTGGCATACAACATACTAGCTAGTCCCAGGGCATCTAGGAGTCCTCCTCTGCTGCCCATCTCAGTAATGTGAGCACGGGGATCTCAGGCACGAGATATTGGCCGCCTTTCCCAGAGTGCCAGGGACTCAGGCCTATGCAGTAAGCGCTCTGCCCACTAAGCATCTCCTTGGCCCTACTGAAATGGTGATGACATTAAGTTATGAGTGCTTAGTGACAAAACAGACTACTAGTGCAGACTCAAGTGGTGGGCACAGCTTTCCATCTGAATACAATCACAGGACCAAGTCCCTAGATGCCCTTATTAAGACAGAGATGCTCATGTAGGCATCAGGCACATTTTTGTTTGTTACATTTTACCTAAGCGTAAGAATATGACTTCCAGAACTACCTCCAAACCACAATTGTACTGTCATGTTTATTTTTAAGGATCTAAAAGTACTCAAAATGCTTCTGTTTCCAACATCCTGAGGCAAGTTTTAATAGTTCAATTTTGCCTCTATTAAAACACTCAGACTCAGCTCCTTTGTAAGCCATTAGGGTCACCAAATCCCAAAGGACAGCTTTATCTTTCTGAAATTTCTACACTCTGTCACTTCCATCAGCACGGCTCTGCTGCCCGAGGATAAACTACTTAGGTTTGGAAGAATCATGGTCCCGACATTTGCATTCCCTCTTACTCAGGGACACTTCAGACTCAGACGTTTCTTCTTGTTCTTGCTCAACCTCCCCTGGACCAGCTGACCCTGCTCGCAGCAGCTGCACGGGGCATCAGCAGGGCTCGCTCAGGAGGCTCAACAGGTGTCACAGGGGCTGATGCTCAATAAGGTCCCGATCCTCAAGCACGACCTTGGTTCTGTTCCCATCTTTCAAAGAGGCCAACTTCTTCACCTTCTCCGTCTGCCCCAGCAAATTAGGACAGCAGGCCTTTACTCTTCACTCTCAGGAGGAGATTTTAAAAGCTGGCCAGGAGCAACCCAGGCAATGAAACTGCAGACCACCACCATTCCACTCCCTAAAATATGTAACAACCAGTTCAACTTTCCCCAGATGTAACAACAGTTTAATAGGTGACTCAAGTCCAGTATTTTTCCACTACAAAATAAGGTCACTGAACGAGGCGATCACAGCTGTAAAACTTAAGTTTTGATATGTTATCCGCCAAAGGTAGAAGAGCATAACTTATGTTCCAGTAGAGTTGTATCATTTCTCAATTTAGGCTTCTTGGTTAAAAGTGTAACTGATTTATTCCAAAAGTACAAAATTGAACCTCTGACTTTTTGGAAAACAAAAACTAACAAACAAAAAAAAACAAGCAAAAAAGACCCCCTAAGGCTTAATACAGTATAAATCTGTTCAATGTTAACTGGTAGCTAAATGTTTTTTAAAGTATGGCTCATTCTAAAATAATGAATTCTATAAGATACTGGAATAGATTTTGTTTGTATATTTTAAAATCTTACTGTTTTGAGGTTTATATTTATTTTCCCCTTCTTATTAGCTACTTAAGAATTTCGATCATGTGCATCCCTTCTGTCACCCCAGATCCACCCTCCTCCCCGCCCACCCAACTTTGTATCACCTTCTTTTTTAAACTGATGAGGAGGGGCACGGGTTGACAGAAAGAAAGGAAGGGGCTGCTAAGACTATCTGGGGAGGCAGGCACAGCTGCCAGCTAAACCTGATCAAGTGAGATGAATTAAGTCCTCA